TCCCAAACTCATTTATGAATTAAAAAAAATATATATTTCTAAACATGTTAAACTACAAACATGTATTGCAACAAGTATAAAACTGAATGGAGGTCCGGTGCTTTACCACTAACCTTTAGATGCTTGTCCCTTTGTTCTCTGCATCCAGATTAAAGAAAGAAAACAAGAAAATGTTATTTTCACATATTTCACTTTTAGACAGGGTATAAGTGCATAAATCATAATGTGACTCTTTCATTGCCAAGAAGATGAACACAACAAAAAAGAGCAATAAAAAACAAGTCTCAATCTCTGCAGGTAAATGTGCCTTGCTTAAAACATGATATAAGTGTTGTTGACAGTAATCTGTTATATTAAACAATGTAGAGCCCATCTTGTTTAAATGCAATGCTGCTTCTTTACTTAACGCTACCACCTTTTATGGCTTRCTGTATGTCAATAACGTAATCACAGCATGTACCTACGTTTTTACCAAGAAAGTACAAATATTTTCTTCGACAAAGACAAAATATMAGATTCCACTAAAACTTACTGTTCAATAAGTTACCCTGAGCCATTATGTAAATCTGTTTACGTTAACTAGCCACAGGATTTATGGTATTTTAAAGCTACGTAGATTAAAAAGACACATTTTCTTTAACAAATGCGTTAAACAACATAACACACGCTGAAGAACAAATGTCATCTTGCTCAAACGTGCATAAAAAAAACCAAAACAATAAAATTTCACGGAATGAGCCCAACTTGCTACTAGCTACATGCCAACGCTAGTGGCTAGCTAGCACTTCCGAGGAATAGCCGTAGCCCAGTAAATCGGTAGCTGGCACTGGCGAGGCACGTCGTCCTTCATACCTGAGGGTCAATGCTTGTGGTAGACATAATTCATTAAGCAAGTCCCTGGATTGTCACGGAGCCCGAGCTTGTGTCTGAATTTCAACCCTGGTGATTTTGAGAGCAAGTTCACAGCTCAGTTGGAGTCGGCTATGTGGCTAGCAGTGCCGCTTAGCGTGAGGCTAGCAGTGGTAGCAGCGCAGGCTCAGCTGAGTATTTTTATTCCAACTTCCACAGTTTCAAGTCAGTCGCCTCGGTACTGTGTCCCAAAGCTTTCAAGTCCTAGTTCAGTTTTTCAAGGTAAGGACTCATGTGTCGCCGAGTAACACCCTGGGGATCTTGAATATTTCAGTCTTCGTTGTCTTTTACTCAGTCTTTTTTTTTTTTTAATTCCACAGAGAGAGCGCTCCTCGGTTACGTTAAAGCCCTGTACACTTCCCCAATGGCTGCTCCATCCGGGCTCTGAGCCCCCGCTGTAATTCACGCAGTTCCCCGCGGGGTGGCAAAACCTTTTAGCATCCACCTCATTAAGAAAAGTGAGTCGTAAATTCTATTATTTACGGTAAACAAGTTTACTACATGTCTTACATTTGTATGGTGGCCCCTAGGCGCGAAACACAACTAAATGAACTAGACAAAAGAAAAAAAAAAGTAAATTACAAAAATATAGTAAACATAATATGGGCTTAACAGAAAAAAATATCTATATTTTGATGCTGAATTGTTTCCCATAAGAAATGTAAAGGTAGTCATGATTTAAAAAATAAGTTATAGGGCCAAATAAGTTAAGGCCAGCTCATTATGGTCACAAAGATGAAAAAGTGTTCAGTTTTGAATTGACTATTTTGAGTTAAAATATACTATTACTACTGCTTCTGCTACAGTGTGTTTTAAGTCAATGGAGATGTCTTCAGTGCTTATAGGATTTGAAGTAGCCTACACACACTGCCAGTGTTGTATAAAGTACCTCAAAGTGATACTTGAGTAAAAGTACAAGTATCTTATCATAAAAATACTTTGGTAAAAGTAAAAAAATATTACTTGAGTAAAAGTACAAGTATCTTATCATAAAAATACTTTGGTAAAAGTAAAAAAATATTACTTGAGTAAAAGTCTTAAAGTA